TGTAATCTATTATATCAATATTACTCCATTACTTTTACTTTCAATGGGCGCATATAAAGAGACGATTAACCATTAAGATCATCTTTCGATACCTTATCTGTTCCTATAAACAAATCCAACCACTGACTTCAGGATTTAACCCTATAACCCATACGATGAAATTTCCATGAATACAAAACCTACATCTCTGCTTAAAATCAATAATAATAATAATCAATAAAAAAACAGGCATAACATTCCCATATTCATCTCCGCATAACCCGTAACATCATATGAATGTAAACGATCTGATAATAACGTTGATGATGGCCAGTACCGCCAGATTAAGTTAGAAGTGAACCAATGGACGTGTGTTTATTCCTCAAATTGACTTTTCATTTAGGATTAAAAGATTTCGAAACTGCAACCTATACATAACATCGTCCTTAATTTCAAGTCGTTTCTTACAAAATAATAAATAGGAGCACCTTATCATATATTAGAAAATGAAATATCTACGGAAACAACAAAATATTTTTTTTATAAAAATACAAGAGATGAGGAAAAACCGTATTATCAAGCAATAACAACGGAAGTAAAAGAAAAAACAAGAAACGTTTTCTTCAAACGTGAGAACGATATCTCTACAACCATAACAAAAAGAAATATAAAAATAATAAAACAAAATCAAGAAGCGTTTTTTTCAGAGGTGAGGAAATACCCTTCGTTTCAGCTGACGTGGCTGTAGTATCTAAAGGCAGGGAACCTCAATGACGCTGCAGAAAGCTCCCCACGGCAAAGGGCATCTACAGTGAACGTCTACAGTCAATTTCTAAAGTCAATGTCTACGGTGAAGCTCTACAGTTATCGTCTATAGTGAACGTCAACGGTGAACGGTTACAGAGAACATCTACGTTTCACGTCTACGGTGAACGGAGAGTACCCGATGGAAACCCCAGATAAGACGCAAGAGATCACCAAGAGTGTCAGCAACGCCTGCGAAATGTCAGCACTCCAGTGGGAATGTCAGCAACGTCAGCACTGGATTCCTTGGTCATGCTGCAATAAATGTGAAACGAGAGGTGATCTTCGCGTAACGTATTGCGAGTCCCTCAGGTATTTCTATTCAAATAACGGGTGAATACGTCATGTCTGGTAGGGGTATAGAGTTTCCAACTATGGGTTCGGGGGAAAGAGTTAGTTCTTCGTTACTTATCGAATAAGGTCGTTTTTGGGAGGATTTCATAGAATATGGAATCCTATGTTTGGGAAAAAATGAGAGGAACAGTAGAATGTATCTGAGCATTAATGGCCACGGACGCTCAGAGCCTTTTTTGCTGTTTTTTTGTGCTGGCTGTTTTCTACGGAATCCGATACCACACGAATTGAAATTTATCCATGGTAGGTCGCAGAATTTGCGAATCGAAAACGCCGTTAAGTCAGGGTAAACTAAAGGCATATTGATAGGAGCGTCTTCGGACCTGAATGTCAAGTGCAGCAGTGAAATGGTTGTTGTGGTTATGGAGAGTGTGAAGGTATGGTGTTGAGTTTCGTTTATGGTGAAGATCTTTAACAATGAATAGGTAAGTGGTGGGGAGGCCCTTTGGGGTTTCTAATATTGCTGAGGATTTTACAACAGATGGCTGTATATAGTAATTGATCTCGATGAGTGTAAATGCTCGTCGACGAACCGATGCGGATATACAACACCGGTTACGGGAGGCCGACACCTGATCTGCGAGGCTTTGCAACAGCGAGTGCAACAACACAGCAGAGCGACGTCCCTGTGCAACACCAGCGACGGAGAGCGTGCGGTGTGGCCGAGGAACAGGTGGTCTGACGGCGGAGCGTCTGGTGTGGCGCTGGTATAAGCTGGGTTGTGGTGGCGGCGAGACGGCCTCGTGGCCCGCCCTCGGATCCAGCTCGTCCTCGACGTCGGCCTCCTCGCAGGCAGCGCTCGCCCGCCGCCTCGCCCGGCGTCGCCCATCGGCCAGCGATCGCCTAAGAATCCAGACCGGTATCGAGAACGACAATGAAGGTTGTGGGTGAGAGCGTGCAGCCGCAGGAATCTAGCGACATCTGGCACGCGTGTGTGGGTGCCCGCGGCCACGTTCCTACTACGGTCAGGATTCTTTCCAGTGTGCCCGTTGCGTCCCGACCCGCCAGCGAGCCCGACGTGCCACGACACTCTTCGGTAAATCAACGGCGGCGATAGCATCTCCCTTCCTCAGAGCCGAGGGCAGGGCGCGGTGGAGGCCTCCCGACGCGAAGGGCACAGCGCCCGCCTCCCGAACGCCGCCCGAACGAGGAGATATCGACACCTAAGCTCGCGCCAACTGAAACCATTCGAGCGCCGCCATCCTCCACGAGCAAACTATTGCAGGTTCTTTTTTTACATCTGAAATCAGAATACCGCATTTTTTATCCGCCTCAATATTAATCTGTTCTCCGATAAGACACATTCCCCGGCGCTGTCTCCCGGTGCCCGTACGCCCAAGTGTAACAGTAGTTAACGTACGGGTTTGTTGAGGAGGAGAATTTAATAAGCGATCGCCGTACACATTCCCCGCTCGTGGCCGGCCCGCGCTGGAGATCGGCCGCGGCCCATCGGTCGCCGGAATTTCGGTGAATAAATTAAAATGCCGCCCTTGCTCTCGACCCTACAGTGGGGGCGCCGCGCGGCCTCGCGCCGCAGGAAATGGTTCTCGCTCGACCTCAGCTCGGCCTTCGAGGAAGACGTCGCTCTCGAGGCCGATTGAGAAAGGCTTTCGAGAACTCAAGGCGGTTACGTAAACATAAACCTCGACTGAAGAAAGCACGGCAGTCCGGGAGGAACTTCCACGCGCAAGCAGAACCCTTCGGCCGCACACACCCGTACACATGCCCATGGTCACGCACACATATATATATGTGTGTGTGTGTGTGTGTGTGTGTGTGTGTGTGTGTGTGTGTGTGTGTGTGTGTGTGTGTGTGTGTGTGTGTGTGTGTGTGTGTGTGTGTGCAAGCGCATACATTTATGTATAATATAATATATATATATATACACATATACATACATACTTACACACAAACACACACATATATAATATATATACATATACTATATATATATATATATATATATATATATATATATATATTATATATATATATATATATATATTATATATATATATATATATATAAACATATACATACGTATATATCAA